TCTTCCGGATCATCGTTTATGGCTACAGCCTTAGAGTTCTTCAGCCGCGGCATTGCATATTCTTTTAACACCAAGTGGGGTGTCCCACCGGGCGTGCTAATTTATGTTCGCGCGTTTTTTTGGCTCACACGGCTGATGGAGTTTGTGGGCGTGCTAGAGTATGTATATACTCAAAAAATGATTTGAACACTAACTATCCCTTTTTAATTGGTGGCTGACTTCAGGCGATTGTGTGGGAGAGAGAATAGGAAGAACTCCCAGCGAGGTTCTTTTTCTCCCTATGCAAGGACTTTTAAGGTTTTTTTAAAAAAAGGTGCAAAAATAATATAAATGAAGCAACTGAATTGAAATGACTAGAATTTAATTAATGTAAAAAAGAAAAGAATTGACATTGAATTTAAATTCCTAGAACATTGCTGAAATTAAAGTATCAAAACCTAAAGCATCATTGGAATGAAAAGTACAAGAAAGGAAAGTGGCAAGAATTTAGATAACTTGAATGGAAGTTGCCATTGGAATTAAAATACTTGAAAAGATGTTGACATTGGAATTAAAATGCGACTAAAGGAAAAGGAAAATGGAAAGGAAAGGCTTTATTAAACATTGAAAGAAAAAGTAAGTTTGCTGAAACTCAAATTCCTTGAATAAAAATTGAAAATTGATAATTGACGTAGAGTTCGTTGAATTTGATATGTATGTTTTTGGGGTGGTGCTGGATGGTTTGAATAGGATTACAACTCTTCTATTTATAGAAGTTCTTCTAACTAAGTTTTCTACTATCCTTGCAAAAAATATCTCCTTCCTTGATTTTCTCTCCTTTCCAATTCAAATAAAGTCAAATTTGAAGAATATTGCCTTCTATACGTGTCCTTGTAACTTTCCTTCTTCTTCCCAACTAAACTTTATATTTTATAGGAATTCAGTTATTCAGTTTCATCCAAACTCAAGTTTTTTCCTTTTAAGCTAGCAGCCCGGTTTGAAATAGACAAACATTAGTTGCTAAAATTTAGCAACTTCCTTGTAAACTTGGCAGCCTTATCCTTCAGATTTTATCAACTATGCATGTAATCATTATATTGCTCTATGTGTTTCCTTTAATGATATGTAATAAAACACCACATTAATAATACTTGCTTCTCTCTAGTTAGTCCACGTCATCGCTGAGGTGGCTGCCAAGTTTTGGTGCCAACACCCAGTCATGTCTAAATCTTCTTACTTCTCTCCGTCAGGAAGTTTCCAGTCAAAGTGATACAATAAATTAGCAAGTGCAGGCTCAACATTAGCTACCGCAAACGATATGCCAAGATATATTCTCCTTCCAACACCAAATGGTGTAAATTGGAAATGAGTCCCCTTATAATCAATTGAACTGTCAAGGAATCTCTAAGGAGAAAAGCTCTCTAGATCACTCCAATTTTCTGGATCCCTACCAATTGCCCATACATTAACAATGCTTTGAGTTTTCGCAGGTATTTCATATCCATTGATTTTACATCTCTCTCTGCTCTCTCTTGGAATTAATAAAGGGACAGGAGGGTGTACTCTGAGAGTTTCTTTGATAACTAACTTTAAGTAACTCAATTCATGGATGCCATCTTCAGTAAGAATATTTCCTTTTTTATATGAAACACACGCGTCTCACCTCAGCTTATGCCTTTTCCATAACTAGTTGTAGAGGATGTCTCAATCTCGCCACCAAACATGTCCTGAATCAGCTTTAAAATTGAGTTGAAAGAATAGAATATATATATAGACCAATAGCATGACTTATATATTGAGTCCTATTATGTTATCTCAGAACTTGCCCTAAAAAGATGTAATTTTGGGCATTAGCTACTTTTGGTGTAGGACTAGCATTATATATATATTGAACATACTTGAAACTGAATTTTATTGTGTAAAAAGGGTTTTGGACTTTGGGCCAGAGGTAAAAAGTAATTCATTGATTTTGGTAGAAGCAGAAAGTAAATGTACTAACCAAGAAAATTGACTTGATGATTGACATGGTTAATGGGATCTAAAGGTTACCCTTCTACGGAAGTTTTAAAAGAACATCAACCAGGTCTTCATGAACAGCTTCACAATCACCGGTCTATTTTGCCACCTTGCTAACTTTATGGGCAGCAATAATGTTGGTAAATGCCCTATCAAGGTTTTGATGAAGCTTCTCAAGTTTATGCCTCAGCCCATTTATCAAAGGAAGCACTTTAATTAAAGGAAAGAGATTAGCGAACTTGAAACCTCCTACTACAATTGCAGCTTGCCTGATAAGTGATATGAATTCTTTTTGCCCATGGAATTTCTTACTAATGGCTGCCTTTGCAGTGACATTATATGTTAACAAGAAAAGCTTTTCACTGAGATTGATGAGAGATCATGTATGCGTCGAAATAGATTTGATCAAATTCAAAGTTTATTCTTTCTTGATGGGTTGGAATGATTAGACACATTTGACACTTAAAAGCTCCAATATGTAAATTTCTCAAAGTTGTTTCCATTAATCCCCATAAGGTGTAAGAGTAATGTCTTTCTCAGATATAATATTTATAGCAAGATTAAAAGGCCTGCTAGCAAAGATGATATCATGTGTTTTTATCACCTCTTTTGCAATTTCTGCTGAAGAAATGACAATGATAGAAAGTTGTCATCAGAGGTCCGTGTTTCGCGATCCGAAAAAAGTTTGGGTTCACTTGCAGAGTGGAAATACCAAGTGTATTGAACACTAGATAGTAAAAGAGATGGAAGGGAAAATGAAGGGCGTGCAGATGACCGACCGAAAGCAGAAGTTCATCCCCACTAACCCCCTCGCCTACACGGAAATCAGACTTGAGAGGGTACGGATCGATTATCACCCCCTTAGGAACATTGAATTTGTCAAGAAGATGATTTGTATTCACCAACTTATGAGAGAGGGATAGAATTGAAGTCCGTTCGTATTTAGAAAATGGGTCAATGGATTCAGAGGTGGAGACCTCAGTTTTAGAGGAAGATTCCCTCTCTTTCATTGAAAGATCGTCGCTAGAGACGACTATGGTGAAAGATCTACGAGATGGCACGCGGACTAATTTAGGTGAAGCAGTGGGTGTTGATTCAAGGTCAACATCGTCAGCAAGATGAAGGTTGGTGTGAGTGCTCATGATTAGCTGAAATGAAAGAGCAAGGAAAAGTGAGAACTAACTTGAGGAAATCGCGAGAGCAGTGCAGAAACGATAAAAGATGGAGAAGAGCTTGGAGTTCAAAAACCCTAGTACAAAGAAAGCTAGTAGAAACCAGAACCTCAATATCCGTGCAATGTGAACCGCCAGACACTTCAAATGTTTAAGTAACTTAATTCCCTTCAAAATAGGGACCGTTGCCCAATTTAAGAGGGAATTGGGGGCAATGTGTGGAGGGAAAATAATTCCCCACCAATGATAAGCTGACATATCAGCATAAGGAGGGACCATCAAAGCTTATAATGACTATTCAACTGCTAACTTGGGTCTAATCACGAAGATTAGGTCAGAAGACTTGAATCCAGCGGGTTGGACTCATTATAAGGGCTCGAATCTAATGACTCCAAGCCCACATTCGATTACATGGGTTGAACTCACTCTAACTACAATTTTATTAAAAGAAGGATATTGTTATTCAGGGCAACCAAATTGTGTAAATCTTTATCATAAGGAAACGTACGTATATTGTAATTGGTATTTTTGTAGGACAAACAACGCTAGTCTTAAAAGGATTCAACCACTACAGATCCTTATAAATAGAGTCTAGTCCTCCGAATAAAATATGCAAGCCTTTCTTATTAAACATTGGCTTTTAGTTAATAAGTGTTTTATTTCTTGATTATTCGTTTTGTTCTTGAGTGTTGTGAGATAATATGTTGACTTTTTCAAGTTGAGGAAATTTTTGCTTATACACCTTGGATCTTGAAAGAGCTAGAGTTCATTTACGGTGATATGCCTAGATATCTGTTTTTTTCTTTTTCTTTTTTGATAATAATGCTGAGATATCTTAATTTTGCTAGGGCTTGCTATGTAGAGAAAGACGAAAATGTGAAAGGGAAAGAAACGATTAAGATCTTTCTCTCTCTTTTAATGTTTTTTCTTTTAATGTAATAGGAAACTAAAGTCCCTTTTTACATATGTTTACAACTTTCACTTATATTTTAGATTAAAATTGAAATAAGATAGTATACTAAAAAGGGCGCCCCTTTAATAACATTACACTTATATTTTAGATTGCAATTAAAATAAGACAGTGATAATTTCTGTATGGAAGACAATATTCGCACTTTTCTACGTCTGCACTTTATTTTTAAAAGAAATGACAATTTTAACCCTAATTTTACAAGTAAATGATTATAATTTTTCAAATGACATAACTACCCTTTCAAATTCCTCTCTTTGTCTCTAATCTTAAATATTTTAGATCTCTCTTGACAAGACAAAAAAAAAAAAAAAAAAAAAAAAACAATCTCTTGTTAATATTTATACAGGACCAAGAAATATTTATAGATATCCAAAATACAACTTATTGCTTTTGAATAAATTGCCTCTTATGATCGGACACAAAAAGAAGGTACCCATTAACAAAAATTATCTCTAATGAGTAAATTATTTCCTTCTAATAAGACAAAAAGAGGGAAAAGAAATGAGGGCGTTGAGAGTTTGTATGTGGGAGAAGGTTGCAAGTAGGACTTGGCCCACATCGGATTCAGATGGAAAATGTAAGGGTCCACCTAATAGTTTAACCTTTTAAGTTGGATTGTAAAACACCCGACCCATTACAATAAGATTTTTCTAAATTTATTTACGTTTGTACGTAATACTCTAAATCTTTTTCAATCCAAAAATTAATAAGGAAAGCTTATGGCTTTGGAACCACATGGCCTTTAAAATAAAAAATAAAAAAAATAAAAAAATAAAAAAAAACTTGTTTTAGAGGTTTAATGAACTTATCAAAGAGCTAAGCTTTTGAAATCTCAACACTTGTAAAACTTTGCAGTAAAAACACCAAAAAGGAAGAATACTCTTTATTCAATTATCTATGAAAGTCCACTTAACATCGGTTCTTATTTTACCTTTCATCTATATATATATATATATATTCTAATATAAGATTACATTATTTATTATATATAACTTAATTAACATTAGAGAGACTCACACGGAAACTGAAAATTCAATAGTGACAATCCAATGCTTTCTACCTTCTTGACTTAACATCTTACTCATGAATTGAATGATGATAAACAACAGGAATCACACACAAATCCCTTTTCCTGCTAACTGCTGCACCAAATATCTCAGTCATGTCTAAATCTTCTGGCTTCTGTCCCTCAGGAAGTTTCCAGTCAAAGTGATACAATAAATTAGCAAGTGGAAGCTCAACATTAGCTATCCCGAACGACATGCCAGGACATATTCTCCTGCCAGCACCAAATGGTGTAAATTGGAAATGAGTCCCCTTGTAATCAACTGAAGTGTCAAGGAATCTCTCTGGATGAAAGCTCTCTGGATCACTCCAATTTTCAGGATCTCTACAAATTGCCCATACATTGACAATGACTTTGGTTTTCGCAGGTATCTCATATCCATTGATTTCACATCTCTCTCTGCTCTCTCTCGGAATTAATAGAGGGCCAGGAGGGTGTAACCTTAGAGTTTCTTTGATAACTAACTTTAAGTAACTCAATTCATGGATGTCATCTTCATTAACAATATCTCCTTTTTTACTTAAAACTCGTCTCACCTCAGCTTGTGCCTTTTCCATAACTCTTGGGTTTTTCAGCAATTCTGACATTGCCCATATTACAGTTGTGGATGATGTATCAGTCCCTCCTGTGAATATATCCTGAAAGAGCATTGAAATTGAGTTAGAAGAGTAGAGAATACTGTAAAAGTAAATATTTGTGAAAGTTAATTCATTGATAATGCTAGTAGAAGCAGAAAATAAATGTACCAACCATGATAACTGACTTGAGTATTGTCATAGTTAAGGGGATATCAAGGTTACCCTTCTCCTGAACTTTTAAAAGTACATCTATCAGGTCTTCGTGATCAACAACTTCACCAACTCTTGCTTTATGTTCATCAATAATGGTAGTAAATATCTCATCAATTTTTTGATAAATCTTCTCAGCTCTAGGCCTCAGCCCACTTATCGAACCGAGTATTTTAACTGAAGGAAAGAGATCAGCAACATCGAAACCTCCTGCTACCTCCATAGTATCCCTGATAAGTGATAGGAATTCTTCTTGCTCATGGAATTTCTTACCAACGGCCACCTTAGCAACAATGCTGTATGTCATGGAGAAAACCTTTTCAGTGAGATTGATGAGAGATCCAGCTGTATGCATCGAAATAGATTTGATGAGATTCGAGGCCTCTTCTTCCCTGATGGGTCGGAATGATTGAACACGCTTGGCACTTAAAAGCTCCAATATGCAAACTTTTCGAAGTTGTCTCCAGTGATCCCCATAAGGCGCGAAGGCAATGTCATTCCCAGATATGATATTTATAGCAAAAATAAAAGGTCTGCTAGCAAAGACAATGTCATGTGTTTTCATCACCTCTTTGGCAAATTCTGCTGAAGAAATGACAACAATAGGAAGTTGACCAAGTTGAAGGTGCATCAGAGGTCCATAATTCATGGCTAGATCTCGTAGGCGGTGATGGGGTAGAGATCCAACAAATTGGTGAATGTTACCTATTAGAGGTAGCTTCCAAGGCCCAGGAGGCAGTTTTGGAGATGAACTGATCTTGGTTTTGAATATCATGAACAGAAACAGAAGGAATGTGAATAGAATTGGGAAGGAGATGATTGGGAACTCCATCATCGATCACTTGTCCAGATTTATGCTTGCTGTGGCATAAGGAGATTAATTTAGTAGTAGTTTGACAAATAATCATCATACAGTTTGGATAACATAAAATTAAAAGCTTTGTATCTTATTTGAATTTGGATCGACACTTAGTTGTCAATTAGAACTGAAACCTCATAATTTCATCAAATAAAAAAAAGCTCCAAATGATCAGTACTCTAGAACATGACAAAAGTTCTCTTTAGCTAAAATATCTTATTAATAAAACTTTCTGGCTTGGTCGGGGCCAACCCAATCGTATATAATCATGTATCAATTATGTTTTTTCTTTTTTTTTTTTTTGGGGCGAGATTGGGTTGGAGTTTAGTGTACCGTAGGACAATATTGAAATTGAAATAGAATAAGAGAAGCTGGCTTCTTAATTCTGAATCTAAAAGCTTAGTGATGAAGATTCGCCATGGAGCTATTTGCTCATTTGTTGAATCGTGGGGTAGCCATTTGAGGGCCGTGTACTAATAACTAGAGTGTGAGCAATAAGCATCCTTATGGTATGCAAATAGGGTATATAACTTCTATAAGTTTTTAAAAATTTCTAATCTTTATTTTTAGTGTGAACAAAAGGCCCGTCAATTACAAGACTAAAGTGTCTTTATGTATTTGAAAATAAGAAAGATTAAAAACAAAATAAATGTAAAATGATTAAAGTATTCTAACCAAGAGAGAGAAAAATGGTATTTATATGTAAAATAGTATAAGGGCATTTTGGAAAGACAAAAAAAGCAGTTCAATAGTATCGTATCAAAATAGCTTGTTTGAGAAGGCATAATTTAATTATTTTGCTTTAGGCCTCTAATGACGTCAAGTCGGAGCAGGGCTTGTCTGCCTGATAAGCAATCCCCTATAAAAAAAACAAAACTACTTCACTGCGAAAAGCAAGGTGAATCAGGAAGCCTTTGGAATCCACCTCATTGCAAGTTCAGTAATTACAAGTAATATAAAAATTATTTCTAAACGACCATGAAATGTTATATGAAAATTAGGGTGAAAATGGGGAAGAGAGTTATTACTTAAGCTCCATGAATAGTTTAAGCATATAAAGTACATCCACAGTTGGCATTAGCAAACAGTATTCGCCGCAAATAAAAAAAAAAATTACAAGTATAATAAAATACTTATAAAAAAATGCATGCATGTATGTCCACAGAGAGGGAGAGAGGGAGAGAGGGAGAGAGACGCTTACAGAGTTGGGGATAGAGCTCTAATGAGTTACAACTCTAGTTCCCACGTCTCTTCAGTGTAGAGTGGAACGAGAAACAGCAAAAAGGGAAGCCTGCGAATTAGAGAGAAATTTGCCTTGTATTTATGGAGAAACATTAAACGTAAAGAGAGTACAAATTACCCCCAAAAAAAATAATAATAAAATAAAATAAAATTAATAAATAAATAAATAAAAGAAAGGGAAGAAGAAGATGATGAAGAGATGACTAGTCTTTATTTTGCTTTTTTGAATGACAAATAAATCAAATTTAATACAACCACGTGTATGACAAAAACAATACAAATTAAATGCAACGTGTGGTTGAAAGAAAAAAATGAAAAGTGAAAGAAACAAAATAAAATTCAACGAAATACTAATATACTAATATCTTAGTTTGATCCACAGACCATGCACCAAATTCTATGTATCAGTCATTGAAGGTGATATCATTGCCCAAGACAATGTAGCTGTTCAATCCAAACATTTTTGTTTTTCAATCACACAATTCAAAAAGAGGATAGTCATTTGTGTGTTCCACTTGTCCACCCATAAATTCGTCTTACTTAACCAACCTGCTGTTTCCAAGTTCCGTGTACTAGTAAACCTTCAAACTATTACTATTACCTTTTTTTTAAAAAATAAAAAATATTAATGTAAGACTTAATTTTGAACCGTTTGACAAATTCCTTTTTGATTCAAAAGAAGCATTTATTTATTTATTTATTTATTTTTTTTTTTTTTGGGTAAAAACTACCCATTAAGAAAAATCCACTAACCTTAGTTTGCGATTTGTGTAAACTTTTGCTTAAGACTCTAAAATTGCATTTTCCTATTTATAAGTAGTCTGTTAATTATTTTGGAATTTTTGTCCTAATTTAATTGAACTCTTTTTACTCTCAATCTATTACTTATGCTCCATTAATTGTTATGGCAAACATAATTAAGTGTTGACAGAAACTACTATCACAAAAAACCACGTACTGAGATATAAGATATAAAGCACCAAATTCTATCCGCCATCAAATTCGACAAAATATTAATATTTTACGTTTGATCAACAGACCATGCACCAAATTCTATCCGCCCATCAAATTCGACGAAGATCAACAAACCATGCACCAATTCTATCCGCCCATCAAATTTGCACCAAATATTAATATTTTGCGTTTGAACAACAGAGCATGCACCATATTCTACCCGCCCATCAAATTGACCGGAATTAAAACAAAAATTCGTCTGACGTAGATTATTGGTGTGGGCCAGGAGAGGGGCATGCCCCCCAGTCAAAAGTCACGAAAAGTTTCAAAGTCTCCTTTTAATTTATTTATTTACATATCTATGTCATTTTTTACTAAATATACATATAATATAAAATAAAATATTTATTTTAATATATCAATGTTTGACTTAGATATATTTTGGTATCCATCTAATAAATAATAGAATACTTTTTGACTTATAAATTTTTTGCATTAGATCTCAGTCACTGTTGATAAGATTGGAGGTACAACTCAGATTTAATTCAATATAAGAAATTCAATCTTAACCCAACTTTCAACCCAAGATAATCAACTTAGTCGATCGAGCTCAACCCATCTTTAAATTTTTTAGATTATATTGAATTCGAACTTACAACTCAAGTTAAAATTTTGAATTAAAATTCGAATTGTCAAATTTTTTTTATATCAACATTGTATACCAAACAGACTTTATGTAACATGTAGATTCCTTTCTTATTCTTTTATGTGTTTGGAATACACGATGTAACATTAAGAATAATAACTAATATAATTGAAGATATTAGTCTATACATCATATGACATATTAACAAACCGATGACTTTTTGTAACATACACACTAATCTCTAGGGATGAAGTGGTACGTCTCAATCGATGGGATAGTTGACTTTAAATAGTACATGGTAGGGCGTGGAATACATAAATAGATACTGTCATAAGATCACCATTATAAAAACTACATCATTGTGTTAATGTAATTCTTTTAATCTCAAGAGATTTAATGAACTCAAATTTTGCATTAAGTTTTTTTTTGGAAAGTCAGTTTATTGATAAAGAAGAAAAAAAGTGCACAAGAGGCAGCAACCCAAGGGGCAAGGCCCAGGGCCGTAGCCCAGACACCAAAACACAGGCCACACAAACATCCCACCAAAAAATCCTAACCCAAACAAAGAGAAAAGCACCAACAGAGGTTTGAAAACACAACTGAAGGCACAGCCAGGCCTGATCACGGTTTGGATCAGTTTGGGGGTAAAAAGATCAAGCCGAACCGATCCCCACTGATTGGTAAAAATTGAAACCGAACCGATCCGTGGGGCCTTTAATTCGAACCGAACCGATCCGTGAAGTAATGGATCGGATCGGTTTCCACGGATTGGGCTGATTGGGCTTTTCAAACAGCCCAATAGATATGGCCCATTAACAGCAATAACAATAAATTCTATGTACAGCATTTAAAAACAATAAACCTTGGTTTTGTTTTACCTGGTATTCTACAATAAGCACTTCATGTCTCTAACTGCAGAGAAAGAGTAATCAGCTTGAAACTACCAGAACTGCTAAACTTCTTAAATATCTATTGCTTCTTACCAAGGATTGATATGCTTATACTCTCAGCACAGTTTGATTATTCTTCCATTTGAAAGATGAGATTATGCAAGTTGGTTGCAAGTACACTTTTTTTTTTTTTTTTTTTTTTGTTTGGAAAGTAAAGCAATTGTATATATAAATATAGAAAATAATTACAAGCCTCAAAGGAAGCCCAATAAGAATGAACAAGAGAAGCCCAATGATAATTGAGCCGAACACGGCAATAGTCAACTTAACCCAAAATAGTCCATTCGCCGTGCCCAACCAGTTAAAAGCCATGAAGCCAAGCCCATTTCGCAATGCTCTTGGTAATGCCCTAGTTTTGCATAATTAAGAGATCTCTAGACAGTCCAGTGACCACGAATAAGGATGGCGATGGTGGACGGTGACATCATCTATTAGTATTACTGCAAGTCGTACGAGATCAAATTTTCCTCAATTCGCCTAGTGATCCTCTAGAACAGAGGCTGATATGCTTATCTTCCCGAGCAATAAGCAAAAATGTCACACAACTTATAATCAGAGTTTAAGAGAAATAAAAGGAAACAGCATATTATGTAGATAAAATCATAAAATACCCAATTGCTGCCGGTCAAAGAATTTAGAGACAAAATTGACTCCAATACAGGAACTTCTATACAAAACAAAAGGTAAAATATGTAGATAAAATCAAAAAATTTAAGTAGATAAAATACAACCCTTTTTTGGTAATAAAGCAACAGAGATAGATAAAATAATTTGTAAGAAGTAGATCCAGTCGAAGAAAAGAGGAGAATAAGAAAAAACAATTTACAAAAAATGTTCAGAGAGAGAAGAATAAGAAGATCCATGCAAAAATCTTGTGAACTCACCGAAAAAGAAGTAGATTCAGTCGAAGAGGTCGCCGTTGTTTCGATACACAGAGGTCGCCGTTGCTTCGAATTTGGTGAATAATAGATTGAGAGGTGCTGGATTGAGAGGTGAGAGATTAAGAGACAAGAGGAGGAAGACACAGGCAGAGAGTGAAGATTGAAAACAGTTACAGTAAGTAATACGATATATTCAATATTGTGTATATATATATATATATATATATAATATTAATATATTATTTAGGTAACGGTTCAGTTCGAATTGATTAACTGTTCGGATAAGTAACGGTTCGGATCAGATTTTTCAGGGTCCAATCCGTTAACCGAACCGTGAATATCGGATTGCAAATTTTCTAAACAATCACCGTATCATAAGATTTGAAAACCGAACTGAACCACACAGATCGGATTAGATTGGATTGGATTGACGAATTGACAGATTATTTGCTCATTCCTAGGCACATGGTATAATGGACTGAACTTGGAAGACTCACACATATCGTAAACCTTCAAACGATTATTATTACGGAGTTTTTTTTTTTTTTTTTTTTTTTTTAAACGCAGGACATAATTTTGAAGACAATTTGTTTTCGATTCGACAGAAGTATTTTTTTGGTTGAAAACTACCTATTAAGAAACACAAGTTAACCTTAGCTTGTGGTTTGTATTAGTTTTCGACTGAAAACTTTGTTTTGGACTCCAAAATTGCAATTTCTTATTTATAAATGCCTATTAATTATTTCAAGATTTTTATCCCTTATCTAAACGAACTCAGATTACTCTAAAATTGTAAATTTAATAGTTTTTATTGATTGGGTTTCTTACTCTATTCTTTTCAAATTTTGTTGAGTGGATTCGTGTTATAGTTAATTTCTTTATGATTTAGAGTTTTTCTTTCATTATAAATTCAATTATCAGTACAATATTATATTTTTTTTCTAAATTTATCTCTTATTTTATGGATTCAAAATTATTATTTTCTGAATTTCTTAATTCTGTTCCTTTGTTACTTATTTTGAAAATGATTCTGTCATTTTGTTGCTAAAGAGGGAGAATTATATTATTGACATAGATTATTGCTGGCTATGGAGAGTATGGGACCACGAGGGCCATGCCCCACACTCAAAAGTCATGAAAAGATTTATACTGATTTGGTCGAGGACATAAAGTGCACAAGCCCAAACATGATCCCCAAAAAATTCGGCCTGTACTCTGTAGTACTCTCATTTGGCATTCAGTCAGTAATATTATATATACTAGGTAAAAGTGTAAAAAATTCCCTGGATATCCATTTTGTGGTAAGTACCCCCTTAAAGTATCAAAGTGTGCAAATATCCCATGGGAGTCATCGGATTAGCTTTCCGGCAACTGTTAATTTGAAATGACCAAAATAACCTTACTTATTAAATTATTAAAAAAAAAAAAAAAAAAAAAAAAGCTAATTGTGAAATACCAATCTTACCTTACTAAGTTAAGTTACCCTAAAATCTCATTTAGCTGATTATGTTAGAGAGAGAGATGCCCAGAGAGTTAGAGAGAGATGGAGGCACAGATACGAACTTAGGGTTTCATATTGTGGGTTAAAGATTTTGATCGTATTCTTGTTCTGTTCAATTGTGCGCGACATCGCGTTATTGTTCTCTTCAATTGTGCGTTACATCGTGTGGTATTTCCTGTTGGGTCTGTCGTTTTCACGAACTTTGGTTCGATTTTACAAGTTCTCCAAATTTGCAAGTGTAAATTCTATTCTATGTCTTTGTGTCGATTTTAAATGAATCTTATTTTTTATTTTGTATGTTAATGGTTTATATTTTTGGGTTAATTAGTACGAATCGAATATTCGATTTCTGGGGTTTGTGAAAATTTGTTTTGACCTAGTATAAAGATTTCGTTTTTTGTATATATAATACACATCCATGCAGTCAATTATATGCAATTTCTTAGAACTTGGGAAATGTTTAGTGTAGGCTTTATATTGATTAAAGAAGATAGACCCCACTGACAATAGAGTTTATAGTCAATGATAGTGGTCCATGTCCTTCTTCCCATTTTTTTTTTTTTTTTTTTTTTAACCTTAATGTCTTCGTATAGTGATACACAATGGTCCATATCTTGTGTTTGATGTCAGTTTGTTTCCTGCATTTTTAGACTGATATCTTGTGGGAAATGTTTGATGTCTTGTGGTCCATGCCTTGTGTTTGATGTCAGTTTGTTTTCATGTGATCATTACTGCATTTTTGTATCTTTAAATGCTTCATTACTGCAAATTTAATAACAGTGTAAAAAAAAAATATTAAAATGCTCCATTACTCCATTAGGGTTTATGCATATTGTTATTTTATTGCTTAGGTATAGGTATTGTTATTTGCTTAATTTTTTATTTTTTGTGCTTAGGGATTGTCTTTTGATTATTTTTTTATTTTTTGTACTTAGGGT